ACATGCGTTGTTCTTCAAATCGCGTCGTCGCGCGCGCGGGCCGCATCGCAGTTGCAGCGGCTTCCCAAAAGTATTTGCGCGACTGCGTCGTCGTTGTCGTCGTTTTGAAATCCGCATCGTCGTCTTCGTCATCGATATCGTCGTCTTCGTCTTGAAGTCAGTATGTCTTGGGTCATGGGTGGGTGGGACACGTCCAACAGGCTTCAAGTTTGGGCTAGTGGACCCTGAACCCTAAACCCTAAACCCTGGGGGGCCTTGAGGAGCTCGGGCGAGCACATGGGGAGCTCCTGGGTCGGGGGGTCAGGGGGCGGAAGTCGAGGATCGACGCGGGGACGGGAGGAGGAGGGGGGCGCGGGTATGCGGCCGGAGAGGGGGGGGTGGGAGATCGAGGGTCGAGGGTCGAGGATCGAGAGTCGATGGGTCGGGGGGTCGCGGGTCGAGGATCGACGCGGGGCCGGCCGGACGATGGCGGGTCGTGTCCCGTGGGGTGTGCACCTCCCGAGCTGCGTGCGCAGCCCCAGCGCTCGGGGAGAGACGAGAGGGGAGGGCGGGGAGAGGAAGGAGGCGGCGCGAGCGGGGGGGAGGGGGTGGGGAGGGGTCACCAGCGGCGGACATATCCGCATCCGCGACCTCGCGGTCTGGATTCGGGGGCGCGATCCCGCCGATACGCGGTCGCACGGCTACGTTCCGCGCGGGGCATCTACGAAAAAATGCCCCGTACCCGCAAAGGGTTGCGACCCAGGGGCCCAGCCCGCGACGGCCGTGGATACGGACAGATTTTCGCCCACGAGCCGAGGGTTGTTAAAGGTGCCCCTGGCCCAAGGTGCCCCAGCTTTTCGCTCAATTTTGGAGTTCCCGGGGCTCTCTGGGCCTCGTGAGGGGTACTCAGGAAGCTGTGGGGGGCCCCTTGGAAATCCTGGGGGCACCTTGGGCCAGGGGCACTTCTAGCGACACAGAGACGACAGACCTGGGGTGTTGAGGGGGGCGGCCGCCATGCAGGCATGCAGCTGGGACGCACAAAAACATACTAATACGATGTGAACTCCTCGGAGAAATGACGCGTCCGACCCGACCGGTTGGTATCAACCATCTTGTAGTAGATCGTTTCCCGAGCGGTGCAGCCAGAAAGCGTCCGCCACGGAGCATCTGCTATGAAATTCCTCTGTGAGCGCGTCTCCCCTGGGGGGGCGACACACACACACACACACACACACACACACACACGCACACACACGCACACATCGTGTCAGTATGTTGAGGAGGAGGAGGAGGAGGAGGAGGAGGAGGAGGAGGAGGAGAAGGAGGAGAAGGAGGATGAAGGAGGAGGAGGAGATGGAGGAGGAGGAGGAGGGAGGAGGAGGAGGAGGAGGAGGAGGAGAGGAGGAGGGAGGAGGAGGAGGCGGAGAAGGAGGAGAAGAAGGAGGAGGAGGAGGGATGGAGGAGGAGGAGGGAGGAGAAGGAGGAGGAGGAGGACGAGGAGGAGGGAGGATGAGGAATGGAGGAGGAGGAGGAGGAGCAAGGAGGCGGAGGAGGAGGAGAAGGAGGAGGAGGAGGAGGACGAGGAGGAGGAGAAGGAGCGATGGAGGAGGAGGGGGAGGAGGAGAAGGGGAGGGATGGAGGAGGAGGAGGAGGAGGAGAGGAGGAGGAGGAGGAGAGGAGGAGGAGGAGGAGGCTGGAGGAGGAGGAGGAGGAGGAGGAGGAGGAGGAGGAGGAGGAGGAGGAGGACGAGGAGGAGGAGAAGGAGGAGGAGGAGGAGGAGGAGGGCGAGGGGGAGGGGCCACACACAGGCTGGGGCTCGGTCGGCCTCGGGGTGCACCCCGGGCCGTGCCCTCGGGGCCTCTCGCCGGCGACCGGGCGGCCCCCCCATAGGCTTGGGGGGCCGCCTGGTGCGGGGGAGGCCCCGAGGAGCTGCAGAGCTCGCTGGGCGCCCCTCGGCCTGTGTGCCAGGAGGGGCCGGGCACGGGCCCAGAGCTCCTCGCGCGGTGAAAAAATCAGGACAGGAGGTTTGTCGCCACTTTCGGCATCAAGGGGCCCTCGCCGGGCCTCGGGGCCGTCAAAAACGACTCAGGATGGAAAACCGGTCCCTGGGAGGGGGTCCAGACCTCTGGGGGTCCCCACCTGGGCAAGGGTCGAGGTCAGGATCGGCGGCGAGCGAGGGGGGGAAGTGAGGAGGGGCGGGCCCTCTCAGAGTCAACTGCACGCAAGAGCGGCCCCGGGAAAGAGTGACCGTTGGTGCGCGGCTTTCTGGGGGGCGCGGGGGGGCCAAACACGAGCGCACAAGAGCGTTCGGCGATCAAAGAAACTCCACTGAGCCCGACCCAAAGGTCACTCTGGCGAAAGGTCACTCTTACGTATAATCGCCAGAGGGCTCGGAAGCCCCCCGACCTTCGGAGCAGTTTTCTAAGCCTCTCCCGAAGACGCAGAAGACTTCTGAGAAGGGGCGAGGACTTCTGAGAAGTCCTACCGCCTTCTGAGAAGGCCTTCTCCTTCTCACTTCCCC